GAGTCCTGAGCTCTGGACTCCCCAAGCATCCCTTACACCCACTGCCTTAGAAAATGCAAGAAGTGTCTAGGAGTCAGAAGTCTTCCAATGAGCTTAATGGGACCCACTTTGAACTTTCTCTTCCTGGGAAGGTGACTATGTCCTCATGGCTTCCACTTCTGCACCATTCATCATGGTAAGGCTCTGTTACTGCCTATGCCAGGGTTTCGTCTTTACTTATATAAACTGTAGCTGTACTTGTAACATCCTACCTCAGTTGTTGTTTGTAATATTTCCTTCCCTGAATACTATTGTGTTCCGAATTGCTCTGGGTTAGTGCTGGCTGCTGACCTCCCTTGTATTTCATTAATTCTCTGAATATTTACGTTGCATGTATTTATAGAGTAGAAGGTGCATGGAGAACCCTGTGTTCTCTCTCTGGGTGAACTGGGAAGATGGTCTCTGATGAGGCCTGATCATACTGAGTGGAAACTGGGGGAATTTGTCACATGAGGGCTTTTTTCAGATCGCACCAGGAACCCGATTGTGTCCAACCATATTTAGGTGCAGGTGCGTTTGTCACCACCATTTTATTTACCGTTATTGACATTTTGATGACTGATCATTTCATCTGTTACTTCATGGCTTTTGTTTAACTTCATGTTTGTCACCTTTTTGCATCCTCTGTCCCTCTGCACTGCTCCCTGTGCAGTATTCTCCTACATGGACCTGCACATGTGTTATGAGGTGCACATATATGCTTAAGTAGTCCTCGAACCCCTGCTACTGAATTTTACTTGGAATAAAACATAAGCAACCTTCTGCACAGCTTGCCCATTTCACCAGCATATAAGCCCTGCTGAACACTTTTAGCAGAAGAAGGAGCTGACGATCCTTCTTCGATTCCATGTGGTGCTTACCATCTTTGTGTCATATTTCTGGTGAGGGTTTCCTTGTTTTGTGATATTCAGAGTTCCAGAACTTCACAGGAGCCTTTTCTAAAAACTGCCAGCACATCTGTTGCATGGATTGCATGTATGATGTGTAACATATTTTTGTAATGGAACTTCCCTCATCACCGTAGTCAACATCCAGTTCCTCCTCATTTCTCTGTTTTCAGGTTGTTGGCATAAAACGGATGATGAGGAGGCCTGTTCTGAGCGCAGTCTATCTGTACAAGGAGAGTCACAGGTCAGGGCGTCTAAGACAGAGCCAGGAACCCAGAGGACCCATGTGTGTAAGCGGTGTTTCTCTGTGTTAAAAGACATTCTGCACCTGACTGAGTCTCAGGCAGCATACTTGGAGCAGAAAGCCTTCTTCAATGACACACGTGTGAGAGACTTCTGTTTCAGTGCAAACCCTCGCCAGCAACAGAGGGAAGCCAGTGGAGAGAAGCCCTGGAAAGAAGCTGTGGACAGGGCCTCGTTTGTGACCAGGTGCAGCTTCTACTTATCAGGGCTGCCTTCATCCAGGAGGGAGGTTGGGAAAGACTTGCCAGCCATCTCAGAGCTTCTCCAGCACCAGGCCCCTCTCAACACTGAGGAGCCACACAGTGGCAGTGAGATTTCTCAGAAACTTCTCAGTGGAAAAGGTCATAACCAGTGGCGTCAATGTGAAAATACTGCCAGCCACAACCAGAAAGTTGTTCAACAGAGCTTCTGCAAGGGAGAAGTGAATTATGAATATACCAAATCTGGAAAAATTTTTAGAGGAATCTCTAGCCTCATTCGACATAGGAAAGTTCACACTGGAGAAAAGCCCTATGTGTGTAGTGACTGTGGGAAGTCATTCCGGTATATCCATGTTCTTAATCAGCACGAGAGAGTTCACACTGGGGAAAAGCCATATGAGTGTACTGATTGTGGCAGGACTTTCAGTCATAGGTACAAACTCACTGAACACCAGAGAGTTCACACTGGAGAAAAACCTTATGAGTGCAGTGAATGTGGTCAGACCTTTAGACGTAGGTGTATCCTCACTGAACATCACAGAGTTCACACTGGAGAAAAACCTTATGAGTGTAGTGAATGTGGGCAGTCCTTCAGACAAAGGTGTAACCTTACTAAGCACCAGAGAGTTCACACTGGAGAAAAACCTTATAAGTGCAGTGAATGTGGGAAGTCCTTTACACAGAGGTGTACCCTCACCAACCACCAGAGTGTACACAGTGGAGACAAACCTTATGAGTGTAGTGAATGTGGGCAGTCCTTCAGACAAAGAAGTACCCTTACTAATCACCAGAGAGTTCACACTGGAGAAAAACCTTATGAGTGTAGTGAATGTGGGCAGTCCTTCAGGCGAAGACTTGCCCTCACTGAACACCAGAGAATTCACACTGGAGAAAAACCTTATGAATGCAGTGAATGTGGGAAATCTTTTAGAAGGCATAGTAACCTTTTTACCCACAAGAGAATTCACACTGGAGAAAAATCTTATGATTGTAGTGAATGTGGGCAGTCCTTCAGAGAAAGGTGTACTCTTACTAAGCACCAGAGAGTTCACACTGGAGAAAAACCTTATGAGTGCACTGAATGTGGGAAGTCCTTTAGAGGAAGGTTTAACCTCACCGAACACCAGAGAATTCACAGTGGAGAAAAACCTTATGAATGCAGTGAATG